AATGGTTTCCAGGGCTGCTGAGGCTTGAGCTGGGGCAAAAAGACGCCCTCACTTCAACTGTGCAGCCTCCGCAGACCTGTGGCTGGGGCCCGCTTCTACCAAGAGGCCCCTCTTTGCAAAACTCACTTCTTTTCTCTTAGTCCCTTGATTCCCGTTCTACAGAAAAATACAATTAGCCCCACTTAGGGGATAGGGCGAGGAGCAAATGAAGTACTATGTAGAAAAGCAATTTGAAAACGGTAGCTATAAGGTGACACTGTCATTTGTTTGACTCCCCTCAGGCTGCCCCAAGGGCGCCCAACTCCAGAGGGAGGCTTGCCCCCTGCTAAGCCAAAGGCTGAGCAGCAGGTCTGACTGCTGCTGCTGCCCCACAGAGTCCAGAACTTTCACAGCAGGAAAGCAGGTCACGCCCCAAACAGCTCCAGGTTCCCTCACCTAGATCTGGAATTCCATCAGAGGTCAGCGTGTTTGTTCCCTACATGTGTACAGGGTGTGGGCAAGCCTCCAAGTAGGTGGTGCCTCTAAGGTGACCAGACGTCCCGCTTTGGGGCGTTTTTAAAAGTCCCAATTTTTGGAAAGAATGCACAACAAGCTAGGGAACGGTCTATTTGGCCCATATCGACCAAATTTTTAATCAAGAACCCCACCCCCGGTCAATGGTGTCCCACTTTAAACCTGGTCACTTTACTCTAGGCACAGAAGGGAGACAGTGGAATGCGAGGGACACAGCCGTCCCACCTGCAGCAGCCCCGGGCCAGGTGCCAGCGTTTCTGCGGGTTCACCTCAGCGGCACTCCCTGTGAGCTGGCACAGGGGCCGGCGGAGGGCACACAGTCCATCCTTCCGTCCAAACCAATTTCCCTGAATGCTCAGCCTGCCTCTTTTTCTCATTACCAAGCCTCCTGGAAACAGAGCCCTGCCTCGCTCTGGCAAGCCTCAGGAGCAGCAGCTAATATGTTTTAAAGATGTGTGGAAGGACAGATTTTAAAGCCAAAAAAACGTAGTAAGCCTTAATCTTGAGGTAGCAAGCATTTATTTTTTTCAACTTCTCATTTTTCTTTCATTCAACAGATTGCAGGCTTTAAGATAAAAGTACCAATAGCCTACAGTAATTTCTAATCAGGACTCTTTAAACCCTCTCCATATTACTGTATGATAAAGAAGGATGGGGGGAGGGGTACTTTTGTCCAAACAAAAACTGACCTGGGATATAGCTTGCTGCCCCCTGCCTCCTTGGTCCTCCACCACAAACAGAGAAGAAAACCTTTCACTCAAGGCCCAGCCAAGCCAATGGAATGGGACCATGTGGCCTCCTCCCATGCTAAAGGGGGCCAGTTTTATGTGTTGCCTCTTCCCGGACCACTTATCTAAAGGAGGCCTTGTACAGCCTTCTCCCTCGGTGCTACAATACGGCATCCCTGTGACTGCAGATGCAGGGCCATCTCCGTGAAGCTAGAATTCAGAGAAGGCCCATTGCTTGAGACCCCTTTAACCCTGGGGGTTCTCTTCTGAGGCCCAAAGGGTTTAATCTGGTTCCAAGATATCTGATTGGTGGTTAATCATCTGGTATTTAATAACCAATCAAGACACAAGGTTCATATATCCAACTGAAGCCTGGTGGCACAGGGGTTAAGCTGCTGGACTAACTGCAAGCTCAGCAGTCTGAAACCACCAGCTGCTCCTTGGAAGAACGATGGGGCTTTCTACTCCCCCAAAGAACTATAGTCTCTGAGACTCATAGGGGCAGTTCTACCTGTCCTGTAGGGTCATTATGAGTTGGCATCGAATTGGATGGTCTGCTTTTCGTAGCTAGAAGAGGCTCTAGTGCAGAGGTGAACGGGCTGGATGATGCCTACCACCTAGAGTTTCAACTTCTAGCTCTGTTGCTACAGACTCTGGGCAAGCTAGTCCTCAAATTGGATGCCAATTTCCTCATAGATAAAATGGAAGTAATGATCATCGCAGTAATAACCTACCCACCTCACAGGGGGGGTTGTCTTCTGAAGGAAAAATAAACGAAGGTGCGTTAGGTGCCACACGGAGGGAGAAGAGGACAAGTGCGTGACAACGCAGCGTGGTGCTACACTCTGCTGCTGGAAACGTGTGAGCCCATACCCACAGCCGCTTGGTTGGAGGGTGGTTTGAATTCTAAGATTACACAGTGCATGCCTCTGGTTTCAAGGCGGGTGGAGACTCCAACCTCAGAAGGAAATCCACAAGACTCACTCTGGATTCAAGGTTCTCCACAATCTACATGCATCCTCCTCTCCAAAGAGACCTCAGACTACATGCCCGGGCCAGCTCTCCGGCGCACTCACTCAGCCATCAGAAGCAGGCCAAGCATGCCGGTGTTCTGTTCTCCGCGGACAGCCCGGCGGCTTTCCCTTTGCCCGGGCTGCTCAGCCTTCAAGACAGCTCAAGACCTAGCCGTCCACAAGCCCCCTGTCTGCTCGAGCCCAGGAAGCGTTTTCTTCTGGCTCCTCCCAGGTTTTTGGCTTTTACATAGCATTCATCCATATATTGATGAGATGAGGAGACTTTGAAAAGTTCATGGGAAAACACCATTAACTTTTAATTCCATCTTCCACGCAATTTTTGAAGCTCCCTCATCCATGGTCCATGTGATTTGGTTTTATAGACCAGACTCAAATATAAGTAACTCAAAAGAAAGGATATGCTCACCTTTCTTAGTATGTGCCCAAATGAGTAGGGCGGTAAGCATGTAGTAGGGGCTTGATGTTTCAGGAAGGCACAGGTGGCTCAAAGCCAACCCATTATCAGTCTTTTAAAACAAAACTCATTGTTTCAAATCAGCTGCCCTTCGGACCAGCACTCCCTCATCATTGCGTAAATATTTCAGGGCTCTCTCCCCAGACCTAGCCAGGTTTGTGATTGAATCTGTCATGTGTTAGCTGTGGGATCTCGAACTTCTCTGTGCTTCCGTTTCCAGCACTTTATAGGGTATGAGAAGGAAATGAGGTTATACATGTTGGGGTCTGGCAGTCATTACTCTATACATATTCATCATTATTAATATCTTCCTGAAATTCAACTCATCTACAACATCCCCAAAAGGCATTTTTGCAGTGTGCTGAGTCGATACTGAAAGTACCTGGCCAATTAATTGATTCATTTAAACTAAATAATGGGAAGTGACCAGTTATCAGAGCACACAGCGCATTCTCTTCATGCACCTGGCCCCGTAGGTTGCTCACGTGAGAGACAATCAAGTTTCTCAAGGCAGCCCTCCCTCTCTACTACTGAGCAATTTCCTCACGATGATATAGAATCTTTAACTCTTCTATACCCTCCAAAGCTAACAGAGCTTCTTTAAGTGTGCCCACACATGAAGAAATGACTTCCCCAGTGGTCTGAAAAAAAGAAAGAAAGTCTTAAGCAAAGCAGATTCACTACCAGCCATCAAGGTCGTACAGAGGCACCAGCCCCTCCATCTGCCCACGGAGGAAGTTCCTTCTTCGGTTGGATTCTCCAGGCTGACCCAGGCATGAACCAAACCCTGTCTCAAGCCCGCCAGTTATGACCATACATTTATCCATCACATCATCTTTTTTTTTAATTCCGCTTTTCATCAATTCAACTTTTGTCCGCCAATTTTTCTTTTCTTTTGCTGCTACGTTTCAGTGAGTTTTAATTAAGATCTGTTTTAATGCATGGAGTAAAAGGCATAGAACTCCTCGATCATGAGATAAAATGAAGCTGCTGACAAGAAAGGGCAGCCCAAATTCACACGATGACATTCAAAAGAAAAAAACCTGGCAGCATTCAAGACAGTTACCATGAAAGGGATATTCTACTTCCATAGCTCATCCACAGTGTCTGCCACTAGCTTTCACTCAGTCAGTGTTTACATATGACCCTGGGTCTGAGTCTACTGTAGCTTTTAGGGTGATGTGAGTTCCCCTAAATCTTCATCTCAGGATATCTCTGAGATGAAGAGCACAGAGGTCAAGCCTGGGTGTAATAACAGGTTTCTCCACTTTCTAGCTATGGGATGCTGGGCAAGTTACCCAGCCTCGCTATATCTCATGCCATCGTGTATAAAATGGGGGAAATAACTGTGCCTACCTAGCACTGGTATAATCATTCCATTAACCTATTAAGTAAATCTTACCTCCCTTCTGATTTTTCTACTCTTAATTGTTTAGTCCAGTGCTCAGCCATAATACACACTCAATAAACATTAATTATTATTACTCTCATCTGTGTATACTACACACTAATCAAAACTAATAGGTTAATCATTTTGAAAGTCAATGCTTTTATTGTGAAAGCCAGTCAGTTTCCAGAGCTGGCCACAAAAATTAGGTTTACATTGGTCATTACAGAGCCAATGAAAAGCAAATTGAAACAAACACCAGCCGTTGAAGCTTCAGACTTGTGCACGTGGACACTAAGACATTGGGGTTGGGGAGCTGACGCTCTTACTTAAGCAGCATGATTCCAACCGAGTCAAATGCTTCGTCTCACCTTCAGGAAGCACAGTGGTCTTCCAAGTTAACAGGAGAATCAGGCCAAGCAAATGTTACACATTAAAATGTCTATAGAAGGCAAAATGTAAATGCTTCCCCAGCAGCTCACACAGGAGTGTTACTCGTATCTAGAAGGTCTACTAGTCATGTAATTAAAAAAAAATTTTTTTTAACTCCTTGAAAAGAAAAACCGTTCTTAAAATTCTTATTCAGGGACAAGAGCGCAAATGTGCGCTTTGCATGTGACAAAATTAAAATTAAGTGAGATTATATGTTAGCACATTTGGCCTCTACCCACATTAGCATAGCTACCAGAGCTTGTACAATTCAGCACAAAGATACTCCGACACATCTAGGCAGCAGTCAAACATTTTACTTCCCTGAAGTACGCTGACTACTCGTTTGCGTGAGCATTCCATTCTTCTGTCTAACTTCTTCGGAAGTGAGGAGAAGGAAGACACACTGACCCTCAAGCCCAGCAGGAGCATGTCATTTCCATGACGCTACTTACCTGCGGTGGCCAAGCAGGAACTCATCAGGACAACCAGGACAATCCCGTAGCAGGAAGTCATGTTCACTTCCCCGACGCTGGGTCTCAGCCGGCAGCCGCAGTCTCCGATCCCAGAACACCTCTGTAGGCCAGGAGTTGCTGTAAAATGTCCTCTGTCCAATTTGTAAACTGCCTGTAAAAACAAACAAATTTCACTTAGGAAACGTAATGCAAAAAATTCGTTTCGTAAGCAAACACATATGAAAGGTAAATAGATGATTTCAGAAAACATAGGAAAATGAATGTGTCTTAAAAGATTCCACACCCATTGGTAGAGGACATTTGTGTGTGTTGTGTTGACTTTGGCTATAAATGCATTCATGGATGAGGTGGAGCAAGCAGGAGACAGTTATGAAACTTTCTTAAAACACCTTGAGGGGCTGAGTCACTGGGCCTGGGGAACAGAACCATAATGGGGGATGGGGCACCAAGGTCAAGGCCAATTGCCATTGTTCACCAAGACAATGTTCCACACACTAATTTGGTGAGGAGCAACTGCGGTCTTAAAAGCTCATGAGCATTCATCTAAGGTGCAATTATTGGTCCTTCCCCTGTGCAGAGGAAAGAAGAGTGACCGAAAACGAAACAGAATGGACCATTCGATCATCAGTGTCCACAACCCTGAGAACAGAAGAACTACATGGTGCCCAGCAACCCCCACCAACTGCTCCACGAAAGATCACATGAGACGGTCCTGAGTGGAACGGAAGTAAAACTCATGAACGAGGACAGGCTTACTGATCAGATAGTCTTAGAGGACCGTCCACCCCACTCTCATCCCCCAGGACCCTGGCCCTTACCCTTCAGATCCGGGACTGAATTCACCCCTGTGTAGGAAATAACCATTTGAGCTCAAAATGGAAGCATTGACCCAAGGACTAAGTGCTGAGGGTGAGGAAAGGAGAATGGAGAGAAACAGGAAACAACACAGGGAGGCGACAGGATGAGGCGAGGGCAATGGATGAGTTGAACCAGAATGTGTATGAAGTGCTGAACATGAAACTACCATCTGTAAACCTTCACCTAAGTCACAAGGAAAAGTTGTGGGTTGTTTTTTTTTTTAAGAGAGATGCCAAACCCCCAAAAGCTCACTGCTGCTGTGTCTGTGCAGACTCATAGCAACCCTACAGGACAGAGCAGAACTGCTCACGCCATAGGGTTTCTAAGGCAACGGCCTCATCTTTCTCCCAGGGAACAGCTAGTAGGCTTGAACTGCTGACCTTTGGGTCACCAGCCCAATGCTTAGCCCACCCCACCACCAGGCCTCTCTGGAAAACGCCAAGGCAATCCTAAAACAAATGAGAGTGAGGGAGTAGGTGATAATGACCTAATAAAGAATTTTCTGGCAAAGGAGACAGCTTCTTTTTAACATTTTATGTTTTGAGCTTTAAAATAAAATTTTAGAAATATCAAAGTAATGAAAGATACACTTGTAATATAATGGCATTGTTTTGTAAAATAATAAAGTTGTTTTGTGGCATTAAAGTTATCAAGAACACTCGATACAAGCATGTCCTTAACATCAGCAAGCAAACCTAATCAACTCTGATTAGAGTTGTTACAATCTCAAGGTTACAATCATAAAGTTATCGCAAAAATCAGTTAAAACACTAGTATGTCTGCAATCATACTGAAAATTGAAAATGCCAGCTTCTTGTTTGAATAGCTTGCCATTTTAACAAGAGCACAGTCTTCCTTGCCTCTCACCCTAGCGGAGACCGGACTCCTGTAAAGTCCCTGGAATAAAGAAATCCGTGGAGATTAGCTTTAACATTTCCTCCCTGACTCTAAAGAGTGCCTTAATTAGATACTTCGCAGTACGCGTCCCAGCTTTATAACCCCGGATCTGGTACAACCCACAGAAGTTGTTTAGGACAGCAAACGTTTATTGAGTTACCCAGGATGTCCCTGGCAGAGACTGGGTGGTATAAACTGAAGCACTTGGCTACTAAGGGAAAGGTGGCAAGTTGAAAGGAGTCCACCTAGAGTAAGGTGACCAGATTTAAAGCGGGACACCATTGGCGGGGTGGGGGTGGGGGGGTGTCTTGATTAAAAATTTAGTCTATATAGACCAAATAGACTGTTCCCTAGCTTGTCGTGCATTCTTTCCTAAAATCGGGACTTTTTTAAAACGCCCAAAAGCGGGGCATCTGGTCACCTTAAGGCACCTAAGGTAAGGTGACCAGATGTCCTGCTTTTGGCAGGACAGTCCCAATTTTTGGTGTTTTAAAAACATCCCGATTTTTGGAAAGAATGCACGACAAGCTAGGGAATGGTCTATTTGGTCCATATAGACCAAATTTTTTCATCAAGAACCCCCACCCCACCCCACCCCCGTCAATGGTGTCCCGCTTTAAATCTGGTCACCTTAACCTAGGAAGAAAACCCTAGCTAGTGACATCTGAAAAATAAACCACTATTGAGGCAGAAAGAAACAAGGCCTCACCCTATTGGACCTCAGAACCGACAGAGACACAGTCGTCAAACAGCTTTGTACTGGTAACTAACAAGTATGTAGGCCAACGGGACAGAACCGAGAACTCCCCTGAAAATCCCTCCACCTGCGGTCAGCTGATCTTCAACAAAGGAGCAAAGTGCAGCAACATTGTTAGAGACCGTCTCTTTAACAAATCCAATTGTCAAAATGGCATAACCCACACCTCGCACCATACACACACACACACACACACACACACACAAAGCACATTCAAGTGGATCAAAGATTTAAATATAAAACCTAAAACTATAAATATCATGGAAGAAAAAATAGTGCCCTGTTAGATAGCATAAATCAAATACCAAACGTAACTCACACTGCACAAACAGCAGAAGACAAGCTAGATGAATTGAGCCTCCTAAAAATGAAACACTTAGACTCACCAAAAGACTTCTCCAAAAGAGAACTTACAGACTGGGAAACAAATTTTAACAATTTATCTACCACGCACTGGTCTCTAAAATGTGTGGAATGCTTTCACACCTCAACGACACAAAGGCAAACAATCCAATCTACGGGACACGAAGAGTCACAGAAGATATGACATCAGGTAGTCAACAACCGCATGAAGAAATGCTCACAATCATTAGCCACTAGAGAAATAACATATCATCTGGCAATCAAGAAAAGAAAACGACAAATTCCATTGAAGGTGTGGAGAAGCCACACCTCTCGAGCACTGTTGGTGGAATTACAAAAATGGTACAACCGATGTAGGATATGGTATGGCGCGTCTTTAAAAAAAAAGCAAAAATATAGATAGTCTATGATCCAACAATCCCACTACTAGGTATCTATCCTAGAGAAATATAAGCTGTGACAAGAATAGACAGGTGCATACTCCAATACCATTCACAATATCTAAAAGCAGCCGCCTAATGCTCATCAGTGAATGCATGGATGAGCCAGGGTACACACACACACAATGGAGTACTATGCAACAGGACAGAATCGTGCTGAATCTACAAAACACCTCAGAACATGGACGAACCTGCTAAGCGAAATAAATTGATCACGAAAGGGCAAATGTCGTATGATACCACTACTGTAAAAAGGCAAGAAAAGGCTTATACACAGACACATTATGTTAAGAGTTATCAGGGCTGGCAGAGGGGAGGAAGGGTAAATCATTCACTGGAAAGCAGGCCTGTCTCAGGAGGCTGCTCTGGTCAGGATCACAACAGGAGGCTGGACAGAGTGGGAGGAAAATATAGGATAAGATTCAAAATCATGAGAAACACCAAACTTATGAATAGAGACTGGTAAAACCCCAAGGTGCGAGTCCTTAAACACCCTTCAACCTAAAACTGACCCCACTCCTGGGGCTCACCTTGCAGGCAAATAATAGAGAGGGCTACAAACGGGAACAACGGTGTCCGGGAGGAAGGCCCTCCTCAGAACTGTGGTATTCCAAGGAGACTAGGCAGGGAGCATTTGTCAAAAACTGAAAGTCCGAAGTCGCGAAGGGAAGTACAGAAGGGTGAATGGAAACAGGGAGCCAGGGAAGAAGAGCTATGACACTGAGGGTATTGGACTAATGTCGTGAAAGGAAACGCATCAGTGTTGTTGTTGAATAGGAAACTAATGTGCTCTATAAACTTACACCCAAGCCATAACAAAACAGCTAAAAAAAACACCCTATGAAGCACAATTCTACTCTGACACACAAAGGGTAGCCACGTGGTGGATCCGATGGATGGCAACTGGTTTGCCTTTTGGGTTTTTATGGTCCAATCCGTCATCCAATGCAGCAATGGGACATGGTTCTTTCTTGTCAAGAATAAAAAATTAACCAATAACTGGATAAAAGCTCAAGGACCCTGTCTGATCAGAGCCCTGGGCAGGAGAGGTTCATGGAGTGTCCAAGAACCGCCTCAGACAGCTAGCAGGCAGCCTTGCTCCCCTCACTCAGGAAGTAACACTCCACGAAGCCCACTTCAGACTGTCAGGGAAAGGTATAGGGCCCTTGTTGACACAGAACCAAAAAAAATCTAAAACCAATGGCAAAGTGAGTTTCTCGTTAAATCGTCTGAGCACAGCCCATCAAGGGTTGGGAGCGCGATGTGCAAAGTGGCTCTTTGCAGCAGGCGAACAGCAGCTGTCTCCTGAGTAGGAAGGAAGCAAGGAAAGTCCCTGAGGGTGGGGTCAGGATGGCGCAGAGCTTCTGCACTCACTCCCCCTCGGGGTGCTGTCCGTGTACGAGGGTGACAGTCCAGAAATGACAACAACAAAGTTTAATTTCAAAAAGAGCCTCTTAGGACCTTTTCACGATTAAGCTATTAGATATGAGGGGCACTATGGTTCTACCTTGGATTGACAGTGGTTAAAAGACGGGTATGACTAGAACATAAGTTATGTTGGTGTTAGTTGCCATTAAGCAGGCTCCATTAAGTAGGTGAACTTTTGAGAAAAGAATTGGGGTTAGAGGATTGTGGCTCAAAGCCTTCCTAGGTGGGAATCCACACTGCCACTAACCAATGGGGTGCTGGTCAGATTATCTTTCATGTAAGAACCTATCCTATGGGTTGTTATGAAAACTAAAAATGGTGGGGGTGGGGGGGTTGTGAAGTGCTCAGCGCAGTGGTTCTCAACCTTCCTAATGCCGTGACCCTTTAATACAGTTCATGTTGTGGTGA